CTTTCCCTAGTTTTGACTGTACCTCATGGTATGCTCATTGTGTGTTGGAGCAGCAATCCGAGGGCACATTCCTGCAGTGTTAGAACAGCTGCATGACTAGTGTTTTGTTGGCATTTGGTGCTCAATCTGCAGTGTCAGTGGGTTGAATTTCTTTCACCAAGGCTCCTGTATGAGGAGGGCACAGCTCACTTGTTTCAAGTTAAGGATGGCAAGGTTTGAAAGCTATACTGCAGACCCTGTGGTTGTTAGATGTAGAGTGAACTTAAATGCAGAGTTTAGTTGCAAGAAGTGCAAAGGTGTTTTTTAATCATGATTTCCTTGCATCCTAATCTTTACCTGCTCACAAAAATAGTTCCCTGGATACCCGCAGGCAACTAAATTTCTCAGTTAAGTGATGTTGGTGTATTCCAGCCTAGGATTTGCATGGGGGGTTTGGGGTGGTTTTGTCACCATCTGTCTCTTTGGAGGTTGAGTTTTTTCCTAATGGCCTTTTCTTTTGTGTGCTTCCAGTCTTTCATTACCAGGTCAAGATCCATTTCTTTGGAAAGACTAATACAACCAAGACAAACCAGCCATTCCTGATATCTCTCTATGGCACTCTAGATGAGAGTGAGAACATTGCCTTCACACTGTGAGTAGCTACAGAAACAACTGCAATGTACTGTTGAGTCTACCTAAATCTGTTAAAGCCCCAGCTGAAAAGCTTGTTCTAGCTTCAGCTACAGAAATCTTATGGGGTCCCAGAATCTACTCTTGTCCTTGATCAAGGGGATGCATCCACTGCTGAAGCTAATGATCTAAGCTCTATAGGAGCTGTCTTTGAGAGATCTGAAATATGAAACGATGTCTGACCTGTGGCTCAGCATAATAACAATTTTTCTGGTGTGGCAGGTTTCTTGTTTTCTGCTTTTCTGTATCTTTATGCCATATTCCAGTTGTGCTAAAGCTCCCTAAAAGCTGACTGCAACTGAGTTAATTATCTGATGGGTCTGAAGGTGTCAGTGTAGAAGCTGAGGGAGACATGGGATTTGCTTCCACAGCTGTACAAATAAGAAGTCTGTACTTCCAGCCCATGGGCTGGCAGGGAATGGGGCTGGAAAGCACCAAAGTCTGTTTTCTGCTCTGAGGAACCTAAACTGTTCCTGGCTGGTGCTTCTCTGGCTTCTGAGAGCCACCAGTGCTGGAGAAGGCACCCCTTGCCTGGCAGTCCATCCCAGGATTTTACCAGCCTTGCTCCAGAAAGCTTTACTTGTGCCTCTACAAAAGTTCAAGGTGTTGTTTTTGGTTTTTTTTTTCCCCTTATTCCATCCATCAGAACTATGGAGAAGGTTTCCTTCTTCTCTGAAGTACATAAAAGGAAATAGAACCAGGACTTTAATTTAATTATCTGTCCAACAATTCCTTTTTTTCTCCTCTTTCCTTATTCCCCTACCCACAGGCCTGAAGTCTCCTCAAATAAGACCTTCTCCTTCCTGATTTACACAGAAGTAGACATTGGTGACCTGCTTATGCTGAAGCTGCAGTGGGAGAAAGACACTTTCTTCAGCTGGTCAGACTGGTGGACTCCTTTTACATTTGACATCCAGAGAGTCAGAGTGAAGTCAGGAGAAACTCAGAAAAAGTAACTTGTTTTGATTGTTATAAGCTACATTAGTTTTAATTGACAGTGTTTCCCAATCCCTGGTATCTCGCAGGGCAGGACAAAACATGGAAAGCAGTTACAAATTGGTGCAGTGCTGATCAGGGCTGCAGTGGCACCAAACTGGCATTTATGTCAGCCAGGTTTGCTTCCACTGGGATCAGCAATCTGTAGTTTTACTCCCACGTAATACATTTGCATACCACTGTCTCATGTGCCTCAGGTTAGTTATAATATGCAGGAGAGGATCTCCATCTGTTTGTAGTTGCAGTTCCTCTCCTCCTTTCTCTTGCTGGATATTTGCACAGGTTTTCTTGTGGAGGGCATGCTGAGGAGATTCTTAGAAATCCCCCCAAAAGCATGTTTGCACATGAAATCATTGCTTTGTTAAGCTGGATTTTCATAGGAGTTGAATACCTGAACAGTGGGTGAAAACTGAAACACATGACTGTTGCAGGATCTTGCTAATGCATGAATGTTAAAACAGCAAAGTCTGAACTGAACTGCTTTGACCTGAATCTCTTGAAATGTTCATATTCACTAGACGTGAGATCTGTCAGCAGAAAGTGGACCCAGAACAGAGTATCCGTGTCCTATGTACAGCAGTGTGAATAACACGGTCCTCCTTTGAATAAACAAGTCAGTCACTTGATCAAAGAACAGTTATCAGAGCTGAACAAATATAGGGGTGGGGAAAGTACTGATAAATAGAAAAGCAACTACTCAGGTTTGCTGGAATTGGTAACCTACTTTGTTTGCAAACATTTGAGGGAGTAAGGCTTTCTTCCAAGGCTATTCATCTGACAGTAAAGGCACACAAGGACCAGTGTGAAAAAAATCCAAGAGACTTTGAGAGACAGATTCTGCTCTTAGCCACAAGAAGATTTTTGTGCTAAGGACCAGTGAAAGTGACACCTACAGTTTGAGGTCCATGCATAATGCGTTTACCAGTTTTTCCTGCAGTGTTTCCTTTGTCACAGAACTCTTTAATTTTCTTAGAGGCTTGTAAGGTAGTAGTGCCTCACATAATAGAGTATGAAGACTACTTCCAAGCACTAGTCCTGTTCCTACAGTTAAGAAGAGATGTCTGTCTCAGTCATGTGATTGTCCAATATTTATTCCACAGGGTGGTGTTCTGTTCTCGAGATGGCACCTCGCATCTCAGTAAGGGAGAAGAGGCAGCGATATTTGTGAAATGCTTGGAGCAGCCCGTCAACAGGAAGAGAGGAGGGTATGAGTGATCACTGTTGGTTTTGGTTTGGGGGAACTTGAGTTGGCAGCAGGAGGATCTAATAAAATGTCCCAATTTAGTTGACTTGTGCACTAGTCTTCTCAAGGCGTCAGAAGCATCACAACTCGGACTAACCTGGGGATTGCTTATGGCAGCTTTGGCAGCTTAAAAACCCTAACTGGGTAACCATCTCCTTTTGTGGTAGTTAGCATATCTGAAAAGCAAATATGTCACTGCCTTTCACATTCATATGATGGCGAAGTATAAATGACTGTTAGAGAGGGTTTACAAACATGGCACTAACACAAAGAGGAAAATATAAAAAATATAAAAAATATAAAATCTAAAGAGGCCACACACACTTAATTTGAAGAATATCGAAGCATCCATACTAAGTCAGTCCAGAGCCCTCCTTCCTTGCTGGCCAGCAGCAGATTCAGAGGCTGTGGTACAACAAGTGAGCAGGCATATGCAGGTGCTCACCCTGGCTCACTGCTTTCTGCTGGCAACCATCAGGTGAGTGACTTCCTGAGATTTGCATCTCTGATTTGGATCAGAGATTGAGTTTTTGTTTAATAGCCCTTGGTGCACTTTAATTTTTTTGATCAATAATTTTTCTGACCCAGAGTAAACTTTCAAATGTGGGACCAGCTGTATTTGGACTTCATCCACTAAGGTCTGATCTGGAGAAGTGGTTATATTTATTTTAGTGCAATTGCTGTGTGTGGAAGGTCTCATGGGGACACTTCTAGACTGAGATCTAGTTCTGTATAAAAAAGCACGTGTGCTGACCTTCACTCCAGGGCAATGACCTGGGGAGGCCTTGAGAGCTCTGTGTATCTGACGTGTAAAATCAAGCAGCAGCCAGGAAAAGCCCAAGTACATAAATTATTTTCCTGTTAAGTATTATTTTTTTAATCTTAAGTCAAGTCTCAAAAATAAGACGAAAGGAACAAGCATCTTACATTTTCCTCTTTGCTTTATCTGTCTGTTTTGTTTTGTTGTTTTTTTTTCTTTCCCCCAGTGCCAAGAAAGCCTCTAAAGAAAATTCTGCTCATGAATCTGCTTAAGTGACAAGAATGAAGTTTTTCCATGCTGGGGAGGAGGAGAGTCTGTTCATCCCCATGGACTGGATGTTCAGAACCAAATATATAGAAATATTTATCCACTGCTGGCTTTTTGCCTGCTATTCCTAGCTATCTTAGGAGACTTCTTGTAAGGAAGTCTCAGCATACAAAGTTACTAACCATAAAGATACATTATTCAAATAGTTAAAAACAAAAAGAAACCCGCAAAACTACTTGCCAAAGGCTTGAGTGCTGGGAATGAATAAGTAATTTTGCTTAATCATGGTGCCTTGTGACAAGGCTTCTTGACATCAAATCCTCTATAGCAATTTTCTAGTATTTATTGAAGAGAAGTAAAGCCCTGTACCTGGCTTTTCTTTCTTTTCAGGAGTCTTCTGAAACTGGACAAGTGTTTTTTTTTTTTTCTGGCTTTGCTAACCTGGATTTTCAGACAGTTTAGTGGCTAGACTTCATTGTCTTCAAGTGTGTGTTTAGCAAATGAGTAGGTTTCTCATGTAAAAAAAAACACCTTTGCTGCGTGTCAGGGACTGACTTAATACGGGGATGAATTTTCTAGTTTGTGGTTATGAATGTGTTTTACTGGGGGTAGATGCCAGTGCCACTTAGCAATAGGTATGATCTGTTAAGCTATATACTTTTATGCAGCTTACACTGGAATACCCCAGCAGTTGTAGGAGAAGACAGCAATACCAGTGTCCTATGCAGACATTGAACTTTTCATCTGTGTTTTCATTCATTGAAAATTGAACCATCTAGCCTCCAACCTGTGTAAATAAGGAACTGCTGAGGAATTGAGCTACCAGAAACTGCAGGAAATGGATTTTGTCTTTTTTTTTTTCCCACCACTTGCTTGTGTCCCATATGCCAAAACTGTGACAGTTTCTCTGCTATTTGACACCAAATGTCAGTCATGCACTTGAGTGGCTGCTGTATGCAGTCTTTGGTGCAAGTCAATCCACTTGGCAGGTGACAAGCATGCTCATGCTTCCCTGTACTGCAATTGTGACTGCCAGTGACCCACCTTGGTTTATTGCTTGGCTGTGATACACTGGTAGATCCTTGGAGCTGCTTGGTTTTCTGACTTGAGGTGGAATTCAGTAAGGAGCAGGAACTGTGACAGTTAAAAGGATCCTGATTGTGTGATGCACAAGAATGAATGCTCTGAAAAACACTTGAATTAGACATGCTGCATGTTGCCAAAAATAGATATATTGAAGGCATTCTGCTTCCCCTTTTTAAAGCAACATATAATTTTTCTAGTGCTCTGAGAGGTTCAATAGCACTTTGTTAGAGTTCTATAAGATAAAATACTGGGGAGGCAGAAGGGCATGAAGGTAGACACCTGGGGAAGTGTAATGTGAGCTATTGATGCTGGTTTTTTGTAGCCTTTTCCTACATGTGCAAGACTGTGGAGGTGGTGATTTCTCTGATGTCATCCCATCTTGAAAGCAAAACCAACATGTATGCATTTATGTGCACAACTTTTTGTTCCAGCCATGGCTGCTAGTTTATTTGGGGATAAGTCTTAAACAGTGCAATATGTTGGAATGTTAATAACTTTGGAACTGCTCACATTTGATTTCCTAACCCTTAAACTACAGCAGAGATGTGATGAGTCACTGAGGGTGGGGTTGAGTATTGAGCCACTGCATTTGAGACCTCTAAAAATAAATATAATGATTTATTCCCTGTTGAATTCACATTTTCTTGCAATTTTCTCTTAAGAGTTAAGTTCTTTGGAAATAAAGTGTCTGAACAGGTGTGCTCTTAATACAGGATCAAATACAAACACATACAGAACTTGGATACAATATAGTGAAGGTTCTTGTACGTGAGGACACATGATTTAGCTTTGGATGTTATTTATTAGCTGTAAATAAGATATTTATGTGTGTAAAGGTAGTTTGTATATATTGCTAAAGTTGCTGACAGTCTCTACATTAATACAATTGTGTGGTATTAATCCTGTATATAGCTTTCAGAGATTTTTATCAACAAACCACTTACACTGCATTATTTCCTATGTCGTTAATACTTTTTTTTTTTTGAAAAGGAAAACTCCTCAGTTTTGTACAGAATGGAAACCTATGGTTTTAATAAAATTCTCAACTGATGCCAAAGTCATTAGTTTCCTTTTGATGAAAGAATCTGCTGTATATCTTTCATATGAAGGCTGTGGCCTTTTACTTGGATTTTGGGGTGAAAATATAGGGTAAGATTTTTTTTTTCCCCCCATTTCCTTTTGGGAAATGTGAAAATCATGTATCAAGGAATCACTGTGCTAGCAAGTATCCCCATTAGAAGTGTCTGGTCACCTGCAGTTTGTGGTTTTCAAGTTTCATATCTTTCCAAGAACACCCCTTACTTTAAAAGACTTGTTTTTCTCTTTTTTTTTTTTTTTTTTTTTTGGGGGGGGGGGAATGTTAGAACTGTGCCTCTGCTTCTCACTGTACCAAAATAGAGATGTTCTGACCCTGTGGGTACAGGAGGCAAGTACCAGTCCCTTAACACCACTACTGCTTATGGGAGTAAACGTGGAAAAAAAAAAAAATCACTTTGACCCACATGTTGTGAGCACAGCTAAGCTCAAGAGGTTGTTACCAGAACAGTTTGCTCTGTGTGATACACAGCAAGGCTCGACAAAGACCCTTGGAAGGGGAGTGTCAGAATTATGGAGAGTTGTAGTAACATACAGAGTTAAGAGTATTCAGAGCAGCTCTGAGTTGGCTTGGAAGACTGCTTCCAACACTTACTTGGTCAAAGAGATTTCTCTTTGACAGGAGCAGAGCCTCACTTGTGAAAGCAGCAGGGAGCTATGCAATAGAAAATGGATGGTCATAAAGGCAGAGGGTGAATGCAGGGAGAGGGATGAAAGAGGGAAATGGAAGGAACTGGGGGGGGGAAGAAGGGTAGAGAGTACACTGGGGGAATGAATGGGAGAGGGAAGACAGGGGAGGAACACAATCTGCAGAGACGGAATGCATGGAAATGCTAGCAGCAGGTGTTCAAATGACACTGCTGCTTTCCCTGTGTCTGCAGCTAGATTGCAGTACTGGGAAGGACTCCTACAGTTGTACAAGACAAGGTCTGAAGCCACATCTCCTAAAACCATCATGATACTACTATTTTAAAGCCACAGCAGCCTCAGTATGCTAAACACATTAGGTAAAGCAGAGAAATAGGTTCCGGTGCAGGGACAAGAACCCAGGTCTCCCTTGTGAGCCTTCAGAGCCATCCCTAGACCTGTTACTCTTGCATCTTGTTCTGCAATGCCCAGCCACCTCAGGAAAGGTGGTGGTCCCTGTTCACCCTGCCCACTGTCTCTGGAGAGGGCTGTGAGGGGGATAGACTGCTCCATGGCTAGCCAATGGCTTGAGCAGGCAGAAAGAGCCATTCTTGGCTGGAAAGAAAGGGTGAAGAAAAGGATTTCAGCCAACGTACCTGCAAGGCAAGGAAGTACTGACTCAAGAACTGAGTGCCTAGATTTTATTTCTACATATTTCATTCTGAGAAATTTTTGGAACCAGCAATGAATATGCTGTCTGTAGGTGTCTCCTCAATTAGCAGTTTGGTAGTTAGCTGATTTGACTCCTCTACTGAGGCATCATATTCTTCATAAGTGCCTGAAATGCAGCACCTGGTTTCACATCAAGGGGGCACATGCTTTAAATATTAGATTGCAAGTGGCAAGAATAATAGCTTATCATCTGAAGTCCAAGATTAGTTCCCCTATAAAAGCTGAGAAAGCACTCAACTGATTAAGCAGTGAGAAAACTATTCCTCTTTCCATGTCTGTAAAGTGGGTGGTTGATTTCCACGAGCCTTGAAAACATGAAGGTCTGTATAAATCCCACATCTTTGTATACCAATGCTTTTTTTTTGCCTTCACAAACTGTGATGACTAGCTATGGAAAATGCTTTTCTTTCTTCAGATATAGTTGTGTGTTGGCTTTCTTCTCTGTGTTGTGAACAAAATGTCAGAAGCTTGCTGCTTTGGATGAGCAAGACATTGCAAATGTGTTGTTTCTAAAGCTGGGCAAAACCAGATATTGAGAACAAATTTTCAATAAAAGGGAAAAATTAAAGTAACTGTAGTATTTTCCTTTTTGTTTATAGCTGTCAATACAGAGCTGTCCATATTCTGACTCTGTCAATCCAAACACAGCAATATTAAAATTCTCAGGTCCAAGGGGACCAATCCAACTACCACCAAGATATCATTCAGGAAACAAATTTCCAGCTTCTCTTGCTGCCTCTTTCCAGAAAAGTCTTCCAGTCAAGTGTTTTTTGTAGCAGGTCTGGAAAGTCACCAGTTTACACAAAAACAAATAAAAGGATTAGCATTCTCCAGTGACTGAAGGAGGACAAGGAAATGAGAAGAGGAAGGGAAGGGAACCATTTGGCAGAACATCCCATGTAGGGCTTGTCTCAACAATGCCTTTATATCCATGTGTGGTGCTATCTCTGCTCAGCAACGCTCAGGATGCTTCCCTAAATCATTTCAAGTTAGCTCAGCCAGAACAATGCATCCACATCAGAAAAGCAGATGCTAAAAAAGACCCACTTTGGGTGTAGGCAGGTGTTAGCATAGGGGTGTAGTGTATGTACAATGATGTAATCTCCCAACCATTCATTTCAGATGAACACCATGTTCTTCATTGTAGGCCCTTCCTGTGGGAAGTAACCTGATATCGTTAGCCTCGCTTCTCACCAATAACTCTGGAGAGTCTCTGTTACTGTTCATCACCCCACCATGTTGAACCACTCGGTGAGCAGTGAGACAGCCTGACTGGCCATGTGTCTGACCTCAGAAGCACCAGGAAGTGAGAACACGTCTCGCGTTGCTCCACCTACCAAAAGTTTTTTTACCCACAATTAGCTGTAAACATGGAATCTTCTACATAGTGAAACAAGGACACGACCAAACAGAGAGGACTGCCAGTGCCAGCTTCACTTCTTTGCATGCACAGGCGCTCCATGGAAATGAGGAGCAGTAGGAACAGATTCCCATGCTAGAACAGGTTGAGAAGATGCTAAGAATACCCACATTTTTTAAAAGATGCATTAAAAAAAAGACTTAAAAAGGTTTCCTTGCCAGGTCCTTAGGCTTTGATGAGGGCATTGCTTCCTTCTAGTGGCATTCTGCATTCAGCAGCTTTGGGGGCTTTCCTCCCGCAACCTGGGAGGCTGCTGCTGTACAAGGCTCCCTTAACCCTTGGGATTAAAAACCTTGCCTATGGCTGACTCTGGATCTGAGATAGTGCTCCTGGTGAAAAGGCCAACTCTGCTCTTACAGTGTAAGGCCTAATCCAAACTGAGGCTGGGAAAATTCTTTCTGTTGACAATGTGTGCTCCTGAGTGCTTTCCTAACACTTGGCATGATACCTCAATTTTAAAATGATGAAAGCACAGCTCAAACTTTCCTGCCTTTGCTCCTCTTACATATCTTTATCAAAATGACTGCATACAATGTCAGGTCATGATCTTCTCAGGCTCTACCTTAACTACCAGCTCTGGATGACTTCTCACAAATATTCCCAGCATCTCTTGGCCAGTACGGACTGGCTTATCTGTGGCATGCCAGAATAAACAGCATAATTGCAGCGATGTAAATAGCACCCAATTAAAATTAAAAAGAAATAAAAAGGAGAGAGAGAG